TCAGGACCCCCAGACCCCATGAGGACCCCCAGACCGCAGCAGGGACCCCAGCCCCACCCTTGTGCAGGGCCTCGTTGGTCATCCTGTGCACGCCGCGCCCGGCGCCCTCGGGCACGAGCCAGCGCATCACGGTGTCCACGCAGCCCTTGCGGTACGAGCTCCACACGCTGCCGCTGCACAGCGGGGGGCTGGGGGCTCACTGGGACCCCAGACCCACCACAGGGACCCCAGATCCCCAGACCCCCCCCTCAGGCAATCACGGTGTCCACGCAGCCCTTGCGGTACGAGCTCCACACGCTGCCGCTGCACAGCGGGGGGCTGGGAGTGCTCAGGGACCCCAGACCCCCACAGGGACCCCAGACCCCCCAGAGGGACCCCAAACCAACCACAGGGACCCCCAAACCCCCATTCAGGGACCCCCAAAGAGACCCCAAATCCCCTCTTGGGGTACCCCATGGGGGGATTTTGGGGGGTTACGGGGTATCCCATGGGGGTCTGGCTGGTCTTTGAGGGCTCTAGGGGGGTCTCTGGATGGTCTAGGGGGATCATTAGGTGGTCTTGGAGGGGACCCAGGGTGGTCTCAGGGGTCCCTGGGGGTCCCAGGGCGATGCCAGGGGTCCCAGGGTGGTCCCAGGGTGGTCTCAGGATGGTCCCAGGGCGGTCTCAGGGGTCCCAGGGTGGTCCCAGGGGTCCCAGGGGGTCCCAGGGTGGTCCCAGGGGTCCCAGGGTGGTCCCAGGGCGGTCCCAGGGGTCTCAAGTGTCCCAGGGCAGTCCCAGGGCGGTCCCAGGGCAGTCTCGGGGATCCCAGGGTGGCCCCAGGGGTCCCAGGGCAGTCCCAGGGCAGTCCCAGGGCAGTCTCGGGGGTCCCTGGGGGTCCCAGGGCAGTCCGAGGGTGGTCCCAGGGCAGTCCCAGGGTGGTCTCAGGGGTCCCAGGGTGGCCCCAGGGGTCCCAGGGCAGTCCCAGGGTGGCCCCGGGGGTCCCGGGGGTCCCGGGGGGTCGCGGGCCCCACCTCGAGGATGACGATGTCGTAGTCGCTGAAGGAGCAGAACTGGCGGGCCCAGGCGGCGTCGTTGCGGATCACCTCGTTGATGACGTACTCGAAATCCAGCGTCAGCTGCTCCACCGTCAGGAACTGCCCCTGGGGGGGCCGGGGGGGTCACCTCGGCCCTGCCCACCCCCCCGGCAGGATTCTGGGGGCTCCCCGGTGGGTTTGGGGGTCCCCCAGCCCCACCTGGGCCGTGGCTCGCTCGCGCAGGGGCCGCAGGCTGCGGCCGCTCAGGTCGGTCACCACGAAGGGCAGCGAGATTTTGTCATCCTCCGGCTCTGGGGGGGGCACGGGGGGGTCAGGGGGGCGCCCCAAAAAACGGGGGGCGCCCCCAGACCCGTTTGGGCACCCCCAGGACCCCCACTCACCGTCGGGGGGCTCGCCGGGCTCCAGCACGTAGCGCAGCTTGGTGTAGTTGACGTAACCGGGTTCGGGCGGGGTCCCGGGGGGCAAATCGGGGAACCCCCAAATTCCCACCCCAAAAAAACCCCGAGTCGATCACAGCGAGGGAACTCCCAGCCTGGGGCTCAGGGGGGGCTCAGGGGGTCCCAGGAGGGCTCAGGGGGTCCCAGCAGGGGCTGGGGTCTCACCTGGGGGTGTGGGAGGGTACCCCAAATCGGGGAGTCCCTGGGGGTCTGGGGTCTCACCGGGTGTCCCCCCAGGCCGGCGGCAGGCGGGGCAGTGCCGCGGGGGGGGCTCAGGGCTCTCCCTGGGGGTCCCTCCAGGTTTAGGGGGTCAGGGCTCTCAGGGGTGTCCCCGGGGGTCTCGGGGGTCTGGGGTCTCACCGGGGGTCCCGGCGGGCCGGCGGCAGGCGGGGCAGTGCCGCGGGGGGGGCACGGCCACGGCGCTGACGTAGATGTCGCGGTGATTCTCGTCGCTCATCAGCATCATGTTCACCAGCAGCCCCGGCGCCGAGCGCGTGCTGGGGGACAGGGCGCGCCTGGCACAGCTGGCACAGCTGGCACAGCTGGGCGCGCCTGGCACAGCTGGGCGTGCCTGAGCTCGCCTGGCACTGCTGGCACAGCTGGCACAGCTGGCACAGCTGGGCTCGCCTGGCACTGCTGGCACAGCTGGCACAGCTGGGCATGCCTGGCACAGCTGGGCGTGCCTGGGCTCGCCTGGCACAGCTGGCACAGCTGGGCACACCTGGCACACCTGGGCTCGCCTGGCACAGCTGGCACAGCTGGGCATGCCTAGCACACCTGGGCTCGCCTGGCACAGATGGGCGCGCCTGGCACACCGGGCACACCTGACACACTGGGCACACCTGAACACACCTGGCACACTGGGCACACTGGGCACACCCTGGCACACCTGGCACAGCTGGGCGTGCCTGACACCCTTGGCACAGCTGGGCGCGCCTGGCACAGCTGGCACAGCTGGCACACCTGAACACACCGGTCACACCTGAACACACTGGTCTCACCTGGCACACCTAGCACACCCTGGCACACCTGGCACAGCTGGCACACCTGGACACACCGGTCACACCTGGCACACCTAGCACACCCTGGCACACCCGGCACACCGGTCACACCTAGCACACCCTGGCACACCTGGCACAGCTGGCACACCTGAACACACCCGGCACACCTGAACACACCTGGCACACCAGACACACTTGGCACACCCGGCACACCGGGCACACCCTGGCACACCTGGGCACACCTAGCACACCCTGGCACACCTGAACACACCAGGCACACCCTGGCACACCTGAACACACCGGTCACACCTGGCACACCTGGCACACTGGTCACACCTGGCACACCTAGCACACCCTGGCACAGCTGGCACACCTGAACACACCCGGCACACCCGGCACACCCTGGCACACCCTGGCACACCTGGCACACCTGAACACACCGGTCACACCTGGCACACCCAGCACGCCCACGGGAGGGGGTGGCACCCACTTGAAGCCGAAGACGATGACCTTGTCGCTGTCCCCGGGCCACTCGCACACGGTCAGGTACAGGTCGCTGTAGATCTCCTCGCCCTGGAACAGCCGCACCTGGCGCACCTGGGGGGGCGGGGCTGGCACCGAGCTGTCCCCAGGGCGTCCCCGCAGGGCCCTGGCTGTCCCCAGTGTCCCCTGAGGGTCCCCGGCTGTCCCCCAGGTATCCCTAGGGTGTCCCCAGATGTCCCTGGGATGTCCCCAGACGTCCCTAATGTCCCCTGGCTGTCCCCAGCGCCCCATGGTGTCTCCTGTTTGTCCCTTGGCTGTCCCTGGGATGTCCCTTGTTTGTCTCCAGATGTCCTCAAGTACCCCTTAGCTGTCCCCTGGCTGTCCCTATTTGTCCCCTGGCTGTCTTCTGGCTGTCCCCAATGTCCCCAGTGTCCCGTACCAGGCGCAGCTTGCTGTGCACGTTGAACTCCCACCAGTACAGGTGGTACAGGTAGAAGGAGAAGTCGTCGGAGCTGCTGGTGTAGGACAGCACGTAGCGACCGCACTTGGAGAAACCCAGGAAGATGTGCCTGGGGACAGGGACAGGGACACCGGGGTGGCACAGGGACACCCGGATGAGGACATGAAGGGGACATCAAAATGGGGACAGGGAAGACACACAAGGACATCAGGATGGGGACAGGGAGAGGACACAGGGCCACCAGGATGGGACAGGGACATCGGGGTGGGACAGGGACACCAGGATGGGGACAGTGAGGGGACAAAGGGACACCAAAGTGGGGACAGGAAGAGACACAGGGAAACAAAGAATGGGGGGACACAGACAATGGGGGTCACCCCAGGGCCCCCACAGAAATGGGGACCCCTGAAGATTTGGGATCCTCTCCTGAAGGGTTTGGATCCCCTCTGGCAGATTTGGGGTCCCCCAGCAGATTTAGCCTCGCCCCTCACAGATTTGGGGCCCTCCCTCACAGATTCAGAGTTCCCCTCACAGATTCGGGGTTCCCCTCACAGATTTGGGGTTCCCTTCACAGATTTGGGGTTCCCATCACAGATTCGGGGTCCCCTCACAGATTCGGGG